TATACCCCCATCTTTATAGTTAGAGTTATGAAGGCAAGTATACCCCATCTTTATAGTTAGAGTTATAAAGGCAAGTATACCCCCCTCTTTATAGTTAGAGTTATGAAGACAAGTTTACCCACCTCTCTATAGTTAGAAGAATTGTCTTGGCTCACAGCTAAACCTTGGGCCAGGGCTTTGGTCACTTCATCTATCATATCCAAACAATCAAAAATTGGAAATAAAACCTTTTTATAAAGAGGTAAGGTGATTTGTTTATAATATGGAATGGTTTTGTAGAACACTTCCATAAACAGTAGACAGAATTTTTTTTCCTGATACTAAGTCAAAACAACGGATTTCCTGAGTGTGAACTTATGGTGTATTAGTATGTGTTTAGCAAGACTATGGTAGAAAAATTAATTCTTCAAAATTCTGAGGATTTAACAAAATTTGGTGAAACACCTTGTCTGTATATGGCTGCCTTTGTGTCCTTTTATTCCTTTTTCCTCCTCCCTCTTCTCTCCTTTGTCCAAGGTCCTCTTTTCTCTTTCCATACTTTTTTTTGGTTTACTTATAAGAACTTCGCTTTTTAGAGAAGATGAGTGAGTAAACAAGACACCAACGTTTCTTTCTTACCAAAGCACATATGGCTTTGTCATTGAACTTGTTTGGATGAAACCAAGAATCTCCATATAGTTATTTGGGGAATTTTATAAATTGAGCAATAGTTATTATTTGAATTTTACTGCCTTACAGGACAAAATAGGAGAGGTGTTTTTTTTTAATTGTGTACTGAATTTCTTTAGCATTTGCATTCTTACAGTCAGCAGTTTTATAGAGTTGTTAATTATTATAGAACTCCAGTTTTTGATAATTTTGTCACAGCATCTAAGCTTCGTAATATTTGGCATATATTTAAAGGTAACTTTAAAGACTTTCGGTTGTTGTTGTTGTTGTAAGGTGTCATCGAGTTGGTACCAACTCATAGTGACCCTATGCACAACGGAATGAAACATTGCCCAGTCCTGGGCCAACCTCACTGTTGTTGCCACACTTGAGCCCATTGATGCTGCCACTTTGCCAATCCATCTTGCTGGGGGTCTCTTTTTTCTCTGACCTTCCTTCCACCTTAGCAAACATGAATAGTTATTTGGGGAAAATTTTATCAAGTTTCAAAATGTTGGCTGTTGTTTCTTATTTGTGGTAAGAACACACACAGCAATAATGCAGATGAGAGCTGTAAGTCTAAGTCTGTACCAGATTGCATTATACAAGTAGTGCAATAGGGTTTTTGTTTGTTTGTTGAAAATTCTTCTGTTGTTATGTGCCGTGGAGTCGATTCTGACTCATAGCAACCCTGTACAGGATTTCGAGGCTATAAATCTTTATGGGAACAGAAAGCCTCATCTTTCTCCCACAGAACAGCTGGTAATTTCGAACTGCTGACCTTAGGGTTTGCTGCCCAATTCATAACCACTACGCTACCAGAGCTCCTTGGTTTAGAACTCCATGATTTGTGAGCTTGTGCTACTTCATATGATTGAGGCAAATCTTGCCCTTAGAAATTCTAGAATTCATTATTATTCTGTTACTTTTTGCAGCAGTGAAACCTTGACTCAAAAATTGATACCCTCTCAAAAAAAAAAAAAAATGATACCCTCTCAGCTAGATTTTCCATAAGAAATGATGGGAATTATTTCTGAACAATTAGTATTTAGAATTATTTGAAAATAAATGATACAGAAATGATAGTAAAATTTCAAATTAAGTGACTTATATTTTAAATGTACCATAGTCTTTATTTTTAAGACTCTACTTAATTAGTGTATAACACTGCCCAATAAACAAATTTGCTGAGTATATAAGTTCCCAATATCATTTTATATGAAACAAGTAGGTCATTTAATATCTCAACTAAACTTAACATCATTTGTTTATTTGTGGACTGTTTTAATCTCACGGAATAAGCGTCTTTTGTATATATTTTTCTAACAACAAAGCTGTTGTACTAGGGGGCTTTAAAAAATTCGTGGAAAAAATCTGTTATCTTTCAATTCTGTTTATTCATGAACTTTTTAAAGTCCTCTCATTTTGTGTAGCTTAAAGCAGTACAAGGAAGGAAAAAAGTAAACTCCTTTGTATTAGCTTGTCACTTTCACGTGCTCCCACCTTTTTAGGGTCATTAAGTGCAAGAGACTCGGTGATATACAGTGCCACTGAGTTATGGTGTCTTTCTTACATAGCCCATTTTCTCTGTGGAGCGTTTCAGGAGTGAAATAGTTCAACAGCTGTTATTCCACCAGATGGACTTATGAGAAAAAACAAGTATAGCTAAACATATACACATAAACATATAAACATATACACTGTTGACATATTTTTTGCTTACTATAAGTCCATATGAGGTATTTTCATTAACCTCATATGGATGCGAAAGCTGGACAGTGAATAAAGAAGATTGTAGAAGAATTGATGCCTTTGAGTTGTGGTGTTGGAGGAAAATACTAAAAGTGCCATGGACTGCCAAAAGAACCAATAGATCTGTTTTTGAAGAAGTGCAGCCAGAGTTCTCCTTGGAGACCAGGATGGTTAAGCTCCATCTCTCATACTTTGGACATATTGTCAGGAGGGAACAGTCGCTGGAGAAGGATGTCACGCTGGGTAAGGTAGAGGGTCAGAGAAAAAGAGGAAGACCCCCAATGAGCTGGATCAGCCAGGTGGCATCATTGATGGCGTCCAGTGTGGCAGCGGTAGTGAGGTTGGCCCAGGATCGGACATTGTTTCCTTTTGCTGTGCATGGGGTCGCTATGAGTCGGTTCCGACTCGATGGCACCTGACAACAATAACAACAATATGAGTCTCAGAAAACTTAAGTAGAGATTAAGGTAGTCATTACTCTCATAGGGGTTAAGGGTTTCCTTCTTGGCACTCCCAAAGGGACAGAGGGAACATGGGGTGGGAATGGATGGTGGGGAGGGAAAAAGCCACTACTCATTCAGAACAAGGATGAGATACTACAGTGGTATGTCAAGATGTCATCAGGGCCACAAAGCATTTGGGCTAAAAGCAGTGAAAATTTCCATCTTCATGGCTGCTTCTCATTTCCCTAATTTGAAAACTAAGAATTTTGTGGCATTTAGAAAGTAGGAAGATACTAGTGAGAGACAGATGTCTCTAACTTGTTTCCCTGTGTTTGCTCCTGAATCCTGCAGAGGACAGGAGATGGGGAAGTAGGCATGAGAGAATATAGACAACGAAGCCACATGCTACAAAACGAGTGTGTCCATATCATCTGGTAAGAAGGTCTTCTGAGAGGAGTCAGCAAGAAGTAGACTCTAGTAGGCTTGCATTCTTGTTTCTCTAAACTGAAGTTGCCTTGAGTTCATAGTGAATTCTTAAATCCGGCTAGTATTTGAGTTCTGGTTGCCACTTGATAGCACGGAGTTCACATACCACCATGATGCTTCATTGGTAGCTACTTAGGTTGCTCAAGGTACTTGATACCACAGGGAAATTTAAAGCCCTTTAAAACAAAAACCAAAAAATAAAAAATACATATATAGAAGCAAAAAAACTTGTATGCCAGATTTAATCCTCCGTTGTAGCTTCTGTACATTAATACAGTTTTGTTTTATAGAGTTTCAGAAACTCAATTTAAAAAATAAACACTTTCTGTTATGAAAAGTCTCATCCCATTCTTTATGTCTCGCCCCTCCCCTTTTTTTGCATGTGATTTCAGTAATTGTGCTGACCTTACATCTCTTCAGCTTCCTTTAATTTCTGGCATTTAATATTGGTGTATTAAATACTCAACTTCTTGTCCTCTACTTTTTGTCATACCCCGTTACTGTGATAATTCTCTGCTTTGGAATATGTGTGAATATGTGGGAAGCTTCCATCAAGGAAAACACTATTCAGATAAATGGATTTCTTTTAATTCCCTTTCTTGATAGCTGGTACTAAGCACAACTCTAGTATTTCTGAAGTCTGTGTCTGTCTGGACCGTTCACTCTTGTGATACCACAAAGGTTATTTATACTTCAGAAGAAAATTCAACTTGTAAGATTTTTACTTTCTTTGTCTTCTCAAAAGGACAAATTTATGACTTCAATTTACCAGTGAACTTGATGAATATGAATGGTAATAAGAAGTACCCGTTTTTCATTAAAATCCACAAAAGTATAAACAGAGATATCCAGTTTTCAGTTACTGTTTAAATTTATTCTACTGTATTTCAGTATATGAATAATTAACTGTAGTAATGAATGAGAGGATTTACATTGCTTCAGCTGGACTGGACACATTGGGTAGCCTGTTCCTTCTTGATTTCCCAAGTAAATGGCTGGTCTGTCAGCTCAGATTATGGTGTTCACTCAAAGTGGCTCCTCTGGTATCCAGTTCTTCATATATTGAAACTGGTGGGGATTTCTTTAAACATTGCTTTTATTATTAGTAATAGTATTTCCTTTGTACTTGCTCTGGGCTTTCCCCATAGTCTAGAAAATAATCATTATCCACTATCGAGAAAACTATCTTTTAATCTTTTGATTAAAGATTGCTTAATGATAGTACCTATTTGTTTGACTAGCTGCATGCTTTTCTTTGTTGTAGCACTGGAGTTTCTGCATGGATTTATAATATGAGGTTCTTTTTTATTTTTATTTTCTATATGTTAGATAGGCATGAAGCCTCCGTCTCACAACTGCATGTGTAGTCGCTGTTGAAGCAAATGCCTACCTAATTTGACAGTCTTGCTGTGTTTAAACAATTTTGAGTTTGCAAGTAAGCATACTAAGTCTACCGATGGAGCCTTCGGGCAGTGAACAGTTATATGAGGACCCTGATCCTGGAGGTAAATCCCAAGATGCAGAGGCCAGAAAGCAAACAGAATCAGAACAGAAGTTGTCTAAAATGACACACAATGCTTTGGAGAACATTAATGTGATTGGCCAAGGCTTGAAACATCTCTTCCAGCATCAGCGCAGGAGGTCATCAGTGTCTCCACACGATGTGCAGCAAATTCAGGCAGATGCAGAACCTGAAGTGGAACTGGAGAGCCAGACTGCATGTGCTGAGATTGATGGTGTCCCCACCCACCCCACAGCTCTGAATCGAGTCCTGCAGCAGATCCGAGTGCCGCCCAAGATGAAGAGAGGGACAAGCTTACATAGTAGGCGGGGCAAGCCAGAGGCCCCAAAGGGAAGTCCCCAGATCAACAGGAAGTCTGGCCAGGAGATGGCAGCTGTTATGCAGGCAGGCCGGCCCAGGTCTTCATCCACAACGGATGCTCCGACCAGCTCAGCGCTGATGGAAATAGCTTGTGCTGCTGCTGCGTATGTACCAGGAGAGGAGACGACCGCAGAGCGGGTAAGTCTGCTTGGGTTTCTTTTTCGTTTTTCCTTTTTCCCATTAACATTTTGTTCTCTGTATTTGGGACTCTCCAAATTGTTCTTTGGGAATAAAAAGAGAGATTTCAGCAAGAACTTCAAAGTTACAGTTGTAGTTTCCCTTTCCATTAAATAATAAATTTAGCTAATGAGGGTTGTTCTTTCCTAACATACTGCTATGTTTTATTTTACCCCTTTGCTAAAACATTAAGTATGTTTCACATGCTCTTTTGTACTAAATTGCTCAGTTTTATGGTAGAGGAACAAAGAAACTTTATTTTTTGTTGTTTTGATTTTATACATGGAAATGGCTTTAATGAAGGTAGTGAGCAAATTATAGAGTCTGGATTTTGTTGATGCTCAGCACGGAAACACACTAAATTACGTATTAGCTAACACGGTACCATATTATCAGCATTCAGTTTATATTTTAAAGAGCATCTGCATTATTATACTTCGTGATTAATAAGCAGCTTTTTTGGATCTATCTGTAAGGGAGAATTGGCATAATAAATCTAGTGTAAACTCCTTCCATATAACTCTCGCTTCATCTTTCATAATTATGGTTAGTTGAGGAAAATAAAAGAAGACTCAGGTGCATGTAGCCAGGTGAGTTGACAGTGAGTGGAGCCTGGTGAATCTCAGTGTTACAGTGCCTAGACAAATTGAAGACGAGGCCCTGTCTAAAGGGGTAGCGTCTTCGCAGCTTTCGCTGACTCTTATATTTTAGGGTGGCCAGCTGCTGATTTTTCAAGAGGCACTAGGAATCTAGATGAGAAGTCTTCATTTTTAGCATGTTGTATAGTCCAAGGAGTCCTGGTGTAGGTTAATGCGCTGGACTGCCAGGTTGGCGGTTCAAGCTCACCAGCTGCTCCTCGGAAACCCTACACAGGGTCGCTGTGAGTTGGAACCGACTCAGCGGCACTTAATAACAACAAAACAACACACAGTCCAAAGTGAACATATTTGTGGACTAAATCTGCTCTGTAAGTCACCACCTAGCTAGATACCTTTTTGCTTTAATGTATTCCCTGAGACTTTCATGATAGTTAAATCATTTCAGTCTGTATCTGTTTCTGGCACAGTTCAGTTTATTCTGTTGAATATTGACTTGCCTGAAATCTAAATATTCAGTCTAGTACCTTTGTTGTTGTTGTGAAGTGGCATCGAGTTGGTGCCGACCCATAGCGACCTTGTACAGGGTTTTCAAGGAGCAGCTGGTGAGCTTGAACTGCTGACTTTGTAGTTCAGACAGCTTTGCAGTCTGGCGCATTAGTCCACAGCGCCACACCAGGACAGTAGATAACTTTAATTAAGAAACTAAACCTGTTAGAGTAATGATATAAATAAAAAATTTATAAGTCTAAATGAGGAAAAGTAGCTTTATATCTGTGAACACAATAGTTATCTTTGAAATAAAAGGACATTTAATTAATTATTGATTACCCAACTTAGTTGGCAATAAAGATTGATAGTTCAACCGTTTAACATGTTGAGTCTTTATTAGAGAAGATTATGAAGTGTGTTAATAATGATTCTGGAATGGCAGTCTTGTATGTTTAAAAGAAAAATAAAAGTAAAACATACTGGATGCACTTAAACACTATTTTGGACAATTTCCAGAGAAAGAGAGCCAAGTGATTTATTATTATTATTCTGTCTCTTTGTTGTTGTTGTGTGCCGTGGAGTTGGTTCCGACTCATAGTGGCTCTGTACAGGGTTTCCGAGTCTGTAAATATTTATGGGAGCAGAAAGCCTCATATTTCTTCCACGGAACAGCTGGTAGTTTCTAACTGCTGATCTTGCTGTTCACAGCCTGATTCGTAACCACTTTAGTGTTTTGTTTTTGTTTTTTTTTGTTTTTTTACTTAATTGACATATACTTATAATAAAATCCACTTAATAAAATCCACTTAATCTTAAGTGTGTAGTTTGTTGAGTTTTGAAAACTGTATAGTCTTGTAGCAGCACAGTCATGATACGATATAGATCATTTCCACTACTACCACAGAATGATCACCCAGTTCTTTCGCTGCAGTTTCCTCTTTGCCAAATCCTAGTCCCAGGCAACCATGGATCTGCTTTCTATCACTATAGTTTTGCCTTTTCATAATATCATATAATTGAGACCATGCATTACACAGTCTCTTAGGTTTGGCTTCATATACTTGGCACATCCACTTTTTGAGATTCAGCCATGTTGTTACATGTCTCAATAACTGGTTGCTTTTAATTGCTGAGTAGTTGTTCATTGTATATACATTTGCCAGTTGGTGGATATTTAGGTTATTTCCAGTTTCAGGTATTATGAATTAAACTGCTGTGAAGTTTTGTGTGTAGGTCTTTATGGGGACACATTTTCATTTCTCTACATTATATGAGAAGTGCATGTTCACATTACAAAACCTGCATACCATTTTGCGTTTTTATCAGCAGCATCTGAAAGTGCCAGTGTATTACATCCTTGTCAACATTTGGCATCATCGGTCTTTTTTATTTTAGCCATTCTAATGTGTTGTTGTTGTTAAGTGCCTTTGACTCAGTTCCGACTCATAGTGACCCTGATTAGGGTTTCCAAGGAGCAGCTGTTGGGTCTGAACTGTTGAGTGCCATACTAGGTTTGCAGTCCAGTGCCAACTAGGAGTCCACAGTGCAACACCAGGAATCTACCCTATATATGGTTACTGCAAAAGAAACGGTGTGGGGGCCACTTCTCTGACCTCTTCTCGAAAGTCCCAAGATTTTCATTTGTGTGTGTTTTATTTGGTCTTTTATATCTTTTTTTGTAGATCAAGGGTGGGGAATATCCAGCCCACCAGCCATATAAGGCCGTGAAATCATTTGGTCTGGCCCTGCCAAGGCAACCACAAGCTGGACTCAAATTTCAATAAATCTAGGAGGTTTTTTTCATAGCAACATAAATTTATATGAATTAACATTATAAATATACAAATGGCCCTTTGCAGAAAAAAGATTCCCCACCCCTGTTGTAGAGAGGGTCCTTGTAGTGTGTCTGCCTCGTCCACCGTCTTGCCAAAAGTCCTTTAAAAACTCCTTAATAAGCCCCTGTGATCGTTCTGTGTTCTTTGAGAAAATCTATCAGAATTACCCGTTGGATTTCCAAAAGCCTTGTGAGCTGACCTCTCTGCCTTGAACTTAACTGGTGGGAAGCCATATTTTGATTGGACCTTTCTTTTGAAGGCACCCTAATGAGTCTTAGACTAGACTAAGTATTAATGAGAGAACTTAATGTGCAGTCATCCACTGATTGCAGAGACATTTTTAAGTGTGTTTTGTTTGGAATAAACTTGTGTATGTATGAACTGGAACCGCAATAGCAATACTTGTATTTTGCTAAGATAGATTACATTTGCTCCTTTTTTATACTACGAAGGAGATGCGTAGAGATGTTAATTATGTGCATGGTTTCACAGCTAGAATGTTTCAGTGTTGAAATAGTAAATCTAGGTCTTTCGTTTTTATGATCAGATTTTTTTAGTAACTTCTGTGTGGCAGGCACCATTTGACTTCAAAAACTGCTTTTATCCAGTACACCATATGGTCTCTCTGGTCTTATGCATTGGATGGTGGCTTAAGTACTTTCAAGATTAAAAGAAGGTACAGATATTTCTTATGTTAGCCTTACTGCACTTTAAAGTGTTAATAACTTTATTGGTAAATATGATATGAATAATCAACTACTGACATTTGATTTATGAAAGCTCAAGGTTAGTATTTCATGTTTTATGTTTAAGACGATCTTATTTCAGATTCCTCTGTTAAATCAAAATACAAGATTTTTATTTTTCTATCTACCTACAATTTAAAGTTTTCCACATTATCTCTGAACTGTGAGAGAGCTATCTAAAATGCAAAGCAGATTGTATTTCCCCTGCTGAAAAACAGGTTTCACATTGTCCAAGAGATAAAGACGGTTCTTAACAAGAAAGTCATAAAAATCTTATATGATTTAGCCCATACAGACTTCTTGCATTTTACTTCATTCCACTTCCTGCTTTATACCTTATATTCTAGCAACCAGGAGTCCTGGAGTGGTGCTGTAGGATAATCATTGGACTGCTAACTATAAGCTCAGTACTTCAAACCTACCGGCTACTCCTTGGAATGCTTATACTGTGTCACCATGAGTCAGAACCAACTGAGTGGAACTTGAACAACAACTTTGTGAATTCACCTTTTATTTCTTCTACTACCCAGTCACTTTTCAGCAGGGTGTTATTCAGTTTCCATGTATTGACTTTATTTCCTTTGTCTTCCTATTGTAGATTTCTAATTTGATAGCATTGTGGTCTGAGAAGATGCTTTGTATTATTTTGATGTTTGTAAATTTATAGAGGCTTGTTTTGTGGCCTAAGACATGGTCTATTCTGGATAATGTTCCATGCACACTGGAAAAGAATGGGTATTGTGCTGTTGTTGGGTTGAATGCTCTGTACACATCTGTGAGGTCCAGTTGGCTGACTGTGTTGTTTACTTCCTCTTTGTCTTTGTTAAGTTTGTTTCTGCTTGGATGACAGTTTTTTTTTCTTTCAGTGTTTTGTATAGTCTCCCCATTGCCTTCTTGCCTGCATGGTTTGTGCTGAGAGATCTGAGCTTAATCTGACTTGCTTACCTTTGTATGTAACATTTCTCTTTTCCCTAGCTGCCTTCAGGATTCTGTCTTTATCTTTGATTTTGGAGAGCTTGATTATGATATGTCTTGGTGATTTTATTTTGGGGTCTATCTTCCTGGGGTTTGTTGAGCTTCTTGAAGGCTTTTATCTTTTCACTTTTCTGGATGTTAGGGAAATTTTCTTCCAGCAGTTCTTCAACTATCTCCTCTATGGCCTTGTGTGATTCTTCCTGTTCCTGAAGGCCGATAATTCTTAAAGATATTCCTCTTCATGTTGTCCAACATGAATTTCAGACCTTCTTCAGATTTTTTAATCCTTTTTTGGCTTGCTCTTCTATCTTAGTAGT